TCTCATTATAGTCTTAATTATTGAATATTAAGTTACTCATTTACAATAAAAATAAGGTCAGTTTGATGCTTTGTTTATAAAAAGCAATCAAACTTTTAAATATCACGATGAAATGGGCGGTGACCTAACAAAATGAGTAAACTACTTGTGGCCCTAGTGTCCATTACCCAAGCAACCTGTGTTACGTGATAAATGAAAAGACCTGTCAAATTTATTTATTATCACATTCAATTTAGTATGTCAAATAATGTTAGAAATATAAAAAGTGACTAAGTAAAAGATATATAATTCTTGTCACAATGAAGTTCAATTTTTTGTGATATTTTGTAGGGTTGAAATTCAACAATATTTAGCTATGATTTAGTACAAAATTAATATATAACAGAAGTAAATTTGCATCAGAAGGAAGCCGATTTGACATATTTAAAAATTTTTGAGGTTTTTTTATTTTTTATTTTTTTTCTGGTTTCTAGATAACGAGATCGAATATGGATAACGTATAAATTTTGATCTCTAATTAATAGATAATCATGATTCATGCCTGTATTATATTTAGATATGCATAGTCAAAACTATGTTGGGATAAGAATAAAAAAGGTCGTATAAAATTTAGCCATATTGAACGGCCAATTTTCACTTAGTGTGGTAGGTTCAGGAACAAACAAGGCCGCAGAAGTTGCGAGTTGACGCCATTAAAACCTTAAATCATCCTCCAATATCATTAATAATACTTTTTGAGTGCTCTCAGGACATAGTCCAGTAGTGCAAATGATAGGAGTGGTGTTATCTCATGCTTTGCTGGCAATCGCAGTATGGGGGTTCGATTCTTGAGACATGAAATTGAACTTCTTGTAGACGCAGTGTACAAGCAGCTCTTGTTCCCTGACCTGTTGAGACACATCCCGCGATTTACTTCCCTCACAAAACTCTAGGGACGGAACGGTGATAACCCTCAAATTTGGGATTCAACCTTTAATAATGCTTTTTGAGTGTTGGTCGCGTGTTCGACAAAGTAAGTTGTACAGCAATAAATAATATTAACGAGTTTTCAATCCTATTATTCAATAACATGTACGAACCACAATCATACGCTATCTATGATCCCTGTAGATTTAAGAATTATTTTTATTGACATTATTGATTTGGCTTAAATTTTTTTTAAAATAAGAAGCTATATATCATTTTTCAATAGTATCAAGGGTGATGCTATTGAAATAAATGAACTTATTTAGTAAAATATTTAGCCTCTTTTTTATTCTCATTATTTGAAAAAAAAATATTTTTAAACAATGTTTTGAAATCATTATAATTACAAATTTTTTCAATAAAATAGTTATACACAAATCCAAATTTTTTTAATTTTTTAACAACATATTTCTCATCAATACACTTCAAAAATTCATTCTTATCAAAAGAACGGTACTTAAACAAGGGCTTAAAGTTAAATGAATTTTAATTATTTGTTAATCTATTACGTCCCATCACTCGTGCGGTCGCGCACAGCTATGTTTCACAAAATCATAGGTGAGATTTGAGCAAGTGCTCAAACTCATGAATCATAAGCCAACTCAAAATTTTTATTGGAAAAATCAGAAGAGTTTCCAAAGTCAATTTTGACGGCAAAACAAGGACGGCCCGATTCAAGTTGATAATTTTGGACCAAGTCATTAGGAAGAAAATTAAGTAATTTGGTTGTGATTTGTTCGAGATTTTTTGTTATTGGTGATAATCATGAAGTTTGAAAATTGGCTATTGGATTGCAAAACAAGATATTTGTTGTGGCAAGTGAAGATACGAGTTTTACTAGGCAAATGAATTTGGATGATGTATTGTTGGAAATTGACAAAATGTCCACAGCTTAGACGACGGAGAAGAACAGTGGAAAGATCGGAATGCACTTTCACAGATTCATATTCAACTTCTAACAATATTCTTGGGACATTTTGAAGGAGAAAATAGCAGCTGCATTGTGATTAAAGTTGGAACAATTGTGCATAACTAAAAGTTTGACAAGGAAATTGTATCTAAAGCAAAGATTGTATTATCATCACATGGCAGAAGGCGAATCTTTGAAACATCTAGCTATATTCAAAGAGATTGTCGTTGATTCAACGACTTTAGAGGTAGAGTATGATGAAAAAAATTTGACTTTAATCTTTTGTGTTCACTGCTTGCTTCATTTACTTCGTTTAGAGACACTTGTATAGTCATGATACATTATTTTTTATCTTGTTTTCATTTTTGTGTTATTTTTAGGATTTGACATGCACTACTATAAATATTAGACTCTTTTCACAAATTTTATATTATTGAAATATAGAATAATTATATAAGCAATTTGTTTTCTCTATATTCGTCAATTGAAAAATACTCAGTTCATCTGCTAATTAATTCTTTGCTTTTTATTTTATTATTTATTTGTTATCATTTATTTCATATCATATATATTAACTCCTTCCGCTTTATTTTCCAATACAAATTGAAGTCACATTCTTAGCCAAGTGGACATCACTTGACCCCGACCCCACCCCCAGTATGTCCCTTCCGTGATACCATAAAACAACTCCAGATTATACAATCTCAGGTTAGCAAGAAACATTTTTTAAATTGTAAAAGAAGACTACTGTTTATTTTGAGATCAGCTGAATTGACATAGAATAGGACACAAAATTACCATTTTCTCATAGAGGATTATGAAGATTTTTGTAGTGCATATTCACATAACCTGTGTCCCGCATAAGCAAGGATGAACCTCCCTGCCCTCCGGGGGCACAACTCAATTGATAGATCAATCAACATTGGCTTGCTTCCAGCGGCAGGATGTAGAGTTCGATTCCTGGTGGGAACCTGCGGCCAAAATTTTGGTATGGAGCAATCACTGTGGAGGAGGATTTCTTGTGCGCAAAAGTGTAAAGTCAATGGGGGGAACTTGTGATCTAGTTGAGGCATAACCCACGATTTACCCCCTCTAAGATTTTAGAGGCATGGGTCTTGAAGGTCCATAATTTAGTCTGGTATAAGTTGAGTTAAAAAAAGAAAAAAAAATTGGAGGATGAATCCCCCCCCTTGCCGACCAAGTCCACCACACTGTCACTCCTATCAAAATTTAAAGTTAATTATTTTTAAACAGAGACAATTGTGTAAAATATTTATTATTTACAATATACAAATACACAACACACGTACACCTCACACGTGGCATTTTTAAATGCATTGTCCAAAATACAAAATTTAGCCCCCCTTTTGGTGCTACTAAAAATCATGATTTTAATTAATTAAAAATCAACCATTAATTTTAACCACACATTTCATGAGATTCACAATTTTTTAAACACACATTTTATCAATTTCTATCAAAATCTACAAAAACTCTAATTTTAATCCCCACCAAATAGGGCTTAGTTTCTGCTCTATTTTAAATGATAAAACTTCCACATCATGATGTGTCGAAGTTCAATTAAAGACAACAATTGTATTCATTACTCTGTTGTGTGTTTGCAGTGTTACTTATGTAAGAAAGAAAATTAAATGACAGTTGCTCGACTTAAAACGAGATTAAATTATTAACTAACATACTCCATTAGTGTAGCTTTTCAATCTCTAATCTTTAAATCTCTTTAAAATGTATGATCTGAATGGATTCAAATAATCGTAAGACACCAGCTTTGACAATCACATGTTTACAATGTTTTGCAAAGCTTTTAATGGAGAATAGTGTTATACAAAACCATGGTGCTTATCCACATGACAATGTAATCACTGTTATATTATTCAATTTATAAAAATGTATTATAGTTTTATGGATAATGCTACCTAACTTCACTAATGCTAGAGTATCAGTCTGTGCAATGTATAGCACCACATGATAGATCTAATTTAATGAATTATATATCAATCAATCATTTAATGTCACGTATCTTATCACCTAAACTCGTGTCAAACGCCAATGACGCTTTATAACATTACTCTTAACTTAATGAATAATGCAATTTAATATCATTGGTGCTACAACACCAATTTAGGTAGTGTTATGAAAAGTAAAATTAAGTCTCATTTAATTTTAAATCTCATTTAGTACCACATTGATGCTAGTTATTTAAATATCATTAGTATTAAATAGCATTATTCTAACTTAGTTGAATAATGTTGTAGTTTTTCCGACGAAGACTAGTGTTAAGTGCCGATAAAATTAAAAGCTTTGCCATAAATGCATTAAATGAGGAAGCTTTTTCAAAATGATTTCCTACACATACATTACTGTCTGAACTTTTGTGATTGTTATAATCAATTTAAATTTATCTTATGTTGCAATTAAACTAATTTCTTTTAACAAGAAGTGACGAAATTCGTTGAAAAACTATCGACCATAGACTATCAAACTAAAAAATGTGCGTCTTTGATCCATATTAATACATGCTTTATCTCTATCAGTTTATCGATTTTAGCCATTTTATTTAATAGTGTCTCATAATTCAATCACATCTAGTGTTATTTAGTACGTCAATTATTTATCAACTTAGTGACTTTCATAAGTTATTTACATGAATTATTGTCTCAGGATTTATTTTGTCCCAGCCCCTTAATCACCTAATTTGCCTATTAATATTGAATATTCAATAGCATTTACTCAAAAAAAAAATAATAATAATAAAGAAGAGAGATAAGAAGAACCATTGAATTAACGGTCAAATCAACAGATTTAAAAATGCAAACGCACTAATATTTGAACAACGCTATTAGTTGACCGAATTCTGAAAGTAAAGCACGGCACAGGCAAAATTCTGTCAACGCTTAAATCCCACTTGCTTTTTCACCTCTATATAAACAACCCCATAATCCTCCAATAATCACAAATAATAATAATAAAGAAGAGAGATAAGAAGAACCATTGAATTAACGGTCAAATCAACAGATTTAAAAATGCAAACGCACTAATATTTGAACAACGCTATTAGTTGACCGAATTCTGAAAGTAAAGCACGGCACAGGCAAAATTCTGTCAACGCTTAAATCCCACTTGCTTTTTCACCTCTATATAAACAACCCCATAATCCTCCAATAATCACCCAAGAACTAGAAAAATGGTACGTATAACGCCGCCGTGCACTCCAGAACGCAACTCCGGCGGTGGTGGCGGAAGCTCGTTCAAGAAACTATCCATACCGGTAATACAACCCTTCACTTCTTTTTGGTCTCTATGCGCGAAACATGTCAGCCGGGCCGCCAAGAAGATGGCTTCCGGTTCGCCAAAATCGCCGTTGCCTAAGACGAAGCATCTTCTAATGACTGTGAGCAACAAGGCGATGAAATTCCGGCGCAAGAAAAATACCGGCGACAAGTTTGGTGGAGATGATGATGATATTTCGTTCGGAGATGAAGGGCTGTGGCAGAGGGCTATATTGATGGGAGATAAATGTGAGCCGTTGAATTTTTCCGGTGTAATTTATTATGATTGCGATGGAAAAAAGTTGCCGGAGCCTCCCGGAAAATCACCTCGTGCTAGTCCTCTGCCGAGATATGCTTACGTGTCGCCGGATAAGTGAGAGAAAATGAATAGGTGATAGGGTCAGTGGGTCACCTCTGGGTGTTGTATTGAGGTCACAATTTTTGATGTCTGTAATCTTCATCTTTATTACTGTGATTTTGTTAATTACGTTAATCTTTAACTTTAAATAAGATTAATATGCCCGTCTCGTCATGGAACGATTATGGAATTTTCTTTTATAGAAAGGAGAAATCTTCTTGCATAGGGGTTTGTCGAAACAGTGGCCAACGTGGTGGCCCTGTCCATAACATTAGGCAAGAATACTTGTCAAATAAGATGCAACCGTACCCCGACCACTCCCTTAGCAGAAGTGACAAAATGGAAGCCTATAAATTATAGGAATTAAGCATGAAAATCAGATCAATAAAACCTCCTTGTAATAACGAATGGTTCTATGAGTTAAAAATTATATATATATAATCAAGACAAAATTTTAAAAAATAAAAATTCATGACCTTAACCTACGCTAACAATCTGACTTTGAAGAGTTCTCTGATATTATCAATTATTTCTATTTTTATATAATTCTACCTATTAATTAATTGCATGCATGCTAGATATATGAAATATATTATTAACAATATCTAAATAAATAAAAGAAGTTCTTCAACAAAGAAATTCATATATAAAAAGAAACACCTTTTATCTATCATTAACTTCTTGAAAATATTCGTTGGACCTTTGAACTAAGGCCCATTTGATTCTGTAAAATTTTCCATGGAAAATGGAAAATCAAATCCATTTTCCATCTTTGCCCTATTTGATGCCATTTTTTTTTTCCAAGGAATCTATTTTCTAGCTTGTCTTGAGAAGAAGCAAATTTCAATTTTTCAAGGAATTGGAGATGGTGAGAATTCCAATTCCGATTTACTGTAGCGAATTTTCTTTTTCATTTTTTTTTCAATGAAAACAAATTGTAAGAATTATTGTAAAAAAATATTTCTCTTTACTTGACAATTTTCATATAAAACAAAGTCAAACGAGTACCAAAAGATAGATGATTTTCTAGAATTTTTTATTTTTATTTTTATTTTTTGGTTTTGGCAATTGAAACAAATTTTATTTCCAATACTAGTAAATTTCATCCATTTAATTGACAATTTTCATGGAAGACAAAGTTAAACGAATATCAAAAAACACTTTTATTTCAACATTTTTCACGTGAAAAATTATACCAATCAAACACAATAATTTATAATTTTCAGGCAAATAATTTCTAGACAATTCAATTCAATTCCATTTTTGCAATCAAACGAACAATAAGAAAGTTGGTTGAACAACCATCATGACCGTCATTTTAACCATAATTAACATGACTAAATAAACTAGACTAGACCGGAATGGTATTCCTTCTTCTACTCAAGACCCAAAATTTAATAACTGTGGAAACAAACCTAGACTCGAATGATATTGCTTACTCAGTTCCTCAAGCATAAGACCCTTGGGCAAAATTTAAATAGATTCACATTCAAGTGTACGTGTCGACCAATAATCAAAATCTACTAACGATATGTCTGATAATATCATTGGACAAAATTAACCCTGTGTAGGAGTGATTATTCGAAAAAAAAAATGGAGATTGTGTAATTAAAATAGTGAAGAAAATTACAAGAAATGTAACAAAATAATTTTTTTTTTTAAAAAAATAAATAATTGAAGATGAGTACTGTTAAACAAGGTTAAATAAACGGTTAATTACATGAACGGTTATGTGACTACTTCATAATTGAATTTAAAAATGTATTTCAATGGTTACTAAGTTTTGTTAAGTATCACAACTTCATAATTGAACTAAAAAATGTATCTCTATGATCATTGAACTATACACCGTATTACTCATCCATCGCTCAAATAGAAAAATCCGTTAAAGCTCAACAAACGGCTTCGACTTGATTAATGGACTGGTAACATTGTGCATAATTCAATGACTATTGAGATACATGTTTGAATTCAGTTATGAATTAATAACCTTAGCAAAATTCAGTGACCATTGAGTTACATTTCATAAATTTAGTTATTAAGTAGTAACAATTTCTTTTTTCCTCAAATCGATCTATGTGAAAGAAGAAACTAAAGAAAAATGAAGGGAAAAAGTTGAAAAATTAAATCGGCCCCAATTATATTGACACTAATTCGAAAAATTTTCTATTTTTCGAATTTTGTGTTCCTATTTTTTCTCTTTCAATCTTTTTATATGAAGATCAAAATACGGTGAACCGGTACCCGTTGATCTAAAAATCAAATATACTTTTCATCGTGATGGATTATATATTGAATAATAATAGATCTTTATTCCCTTCATTTTCTTTAATTTCATCTATATTTTAATTGTCACTAAACTTTACCAAGTATTACTAATTTATAACTAAACTCCGAAAAGTATCTTAATGGTTATTAAACTATGCACCATATTACCCAAAATTTTCATTTGAGCAATGGATGAGTAAAATGATGCATATTCAATAATCATTAAGGTACATTTTTAAATTCAATTATGAAGTAGCAACACTTAGTAAAGTTTAGTGACCTTTGGAATACAATTTTAAGTTTAATTATTAAATAATAACATATGACAGTTTAGTAATCATTTATCTAATTAACCCGCTGAATAAATAAGTTTGTCAACCATCCTAACAAGTCAACCGATGGCGTGAATCATGAAAGTGTTATCGGAACCAGTTTAATGCCTGATGTAGAATGCGACACTGCATTGTTTAAATATTTAACTAGGATTGAATTCTCCATGTCATAAGAATATTACACATTTAAGCATTTGCTAATTTATCACTTTACAATCGACAAGCATATATTGCTTGAAATAGGTCATGTTCACATTCCATTCTAAATTTGATGACAAAATGAAGCAATAAAGTATCTTCTGTTCGACTAACTCGTGTATTTCTGGTCAAAATACAAAAACAAAAAAACCAAAAAAATAAAAAAATCCGCATTTATATGACATCCTGAAGAGATATGAAACGTGGCATTCCAAAACTCTGTAGGTTAAAATTTGAAGTATGAAAATACTTATCAAGGTGTAAAAGTTTGATATACTCCCCATAACAAGATTAGTCTTTTAAAATAGAACTTCCAGTATTGTATGCTATCTAAATGCATCAAAAACACAAAACGAACAATTCAAGCATTCAGATTTCAAGATTGATGTACTCAAATGAGACACTGTCTTGCTAGAACAGGCAGAAGGGTAAAATCCTACCTTGGTTAAATATGAAAACATCAACCAACATATAAATTCTAGAACTACTCATGTTAACAATGAGTTGACCTCTTTAAAATGCAACCCCAAATCTTAATAGTAAGTAGATTGTGATTATTCATTTTAGAAGCTTCACTGTATCGCAAAGGAAAGCTGTAAACTTCTAAATCGTGAATGGGGTGAAAACTAACCTCAAGAAATAGAACACAAGCTACAATGACAGTAGTGAAATGTGCAATCCCAAGACAACATAGAGGAATCTAGCAGAAGATAGTTTTCTTATAAACCAGAGAGGAAAAAGGCAGTATAATGTCCTTAGAACACCATAAGCATGCAAGGGAACTTCCATATGAAACTTTTGGATGTTAATAGCTCACTAAAAGAACTTATGTTTAACAGTTACAGGACTGTCGCAAAATGTCACATTTAAAAAAAAAAAAAAAAATTACATCAAAGAAGTGAACTATAGAGATACAAGCAATTTCAGCCCAAATCTTTCTCATGATAAGAAAAAAACAGGGCCTTAATTATCTCCATCAAATATAAATCCAAGAACAAATATGAGCTGTACATCTATCATTATTTCCCGTTCCAGACAGCCTGCATCACTGGTTCTTGAATGACTGCAAATAAAGTAAAAATGTCCTCAGCAAGAAATTACTCATGAACTCCCATATAATTGAAGAAGAAGAAGAGCAACATAGGCAAACCACATCCATTTTAATGCGAACACCAACCTCAAAATGTTTTGATGCATCCTTCACTTGCTCAGCAATATCCTTCTTCTGCTGAGCTGCTGCAAAGGGCAAGAGAATTGAATGAACAACAATGATAGTAGCATAGTATTTAGGCATCTAATGAAAAAATGTATTGATAGAATGACAAGGAAAAAAGGATAAATGTCATTACCCATATTAGAAATATCCTCTATCCTTTTTGATGTCCTCACAGCGAACCTCTGAAATTTAGGACTGGATTAAAAAACGAACAAACAATTTTATGAGAATTTACACATGTATCTAAAATGCATCTCCAACACGAAGTAAAATTAAAGGGGCAACCACACACAAAGGTACAGCCACGAGAAAGATGCAGCTGGCCAGATGAAGAGAAATTCACTATCCCCAGTGGGGCTAGAGCATCAATCTAAGTGGCCCCGCTTGATAGGTTCAATTAAATGAATCGTGCAATAATGCATTTAAATGGATATATCATTTAATGTCATACAGTTGCCACCTAGACTGTTGTTAAGCCCCACTAGGGATGAATAGCATTATTCAATGAAATAAAGAAAAAACTGTATTCATTTCACATGCATCAAGAACAATATTCTTCAGCTACCTATCAGGTAGTAATTGACTGAACAGAACTAAAAAGCTATATTCGCTGTAGCCCAAGTATGCATTTACTTTTCTATTCACGACTGAAAGATAAGCATCGCAAGACAAGCTAGAGAGCCTCAGAATAATGATGTTCATAAAATAAATACAGGGTTGATCTCAATAACGATCACGAACATACATGATGTAGGACGAATTAAAAAATAGAAAGAAGAAGCAAAAAAGAGGGGAGAACATGAGAGAATGGGGGGGAAATCGGAGAAAAAGTAGAAATTTATGGGGGAGAGGGGAAGGGAGAGGAAGGAGAAGCCATAGGCAACAAACCACCAAAATATTCTTCAATTCATCAAAATTAATGAAATTACATCGCAATTAGGTTTAAATAGTAAAGACTAAAACCCTAAGTAGAATGGACTTGGGCCAACACAAATCCAATTAAATAAATAAAATCTAAAACATAAATAAAATCCAACTAAAAATAAATAAAAAAGTAGATGTCCTCATCAACTCTCCCGGGGTGGGAGAAAAACTCGACCCTGTCAAGTTGATGGATAGTATAGGCTGTAGTCAATCTGATACTCGAAATGCATCAAGTCAAGCCACGGGGGACGATCTTTCTGACGAACCAAGCAACGAAATTCCATGATTGATAATACTGAAAACTGTAGCTTATTCCCAAGAATATGATCTGACCAAGGGAGGCGATCTTTCCTTCTAACCAAGTACTGATACCGGACTCCAAATAATCAATACTCATGCACCTCATCTTCAAGATTTTTACATGATTGTATATAATGAAGAGCATAAGAAGCACGTCGATCTACCTAACAAACAAGGAAGTACTGAATCTTGCCATCATTGGTCAATACAACACGCTCATCTAAAATAACATCAATTTTATTTTTGTGTACTGTGATAGATGGTATTGAAGTAGAAATACCAACATAGTCAAGTTGGGGGTCCATAAAGCTAAGTAGAAATAGATCATCAAAGGAAGTAAAACGATGTTTGTAAGTAATGAAATCCTCAATATTTAAAGCAGAGTGGTAGCCAAAATGTGATGAAAGGACAATGACATGTGCATTTGAACCAACATGCTTTAACATTTTTAAAGGGCGAGCACTACAAGCTTGCAACATAAAATAATCCCCAATATTAAATTCAAAATATCATTTATGCGAATCAACTTGAAGTTTATATAATGCATTACATGCATCATGTTGTTTATTGATCTCAATATACAAATCATGAAGATGACGTACAAATGCCTCAGCTGACATAGTCATACTAGTATGTGGAGACATTGGAATAAGGTTTAAAGGTTTCCTAGACTTATAACCATGAATAACTTCGATGGAACTCGTACCTATAAACCGATGCACAAAATTGTTATATGAAATTTTAATTGTTGGGAGGATCAAATCCTAATTCTCGAGATTTTCCTTGAAAAGGACATGATTACATAAATCATCCGTACCTTTAGGTTGGCAAAGAGTATGACACACAACATTTACCTGAGGGGTATCGGGAACAAAAGGTACAACCCCTAGATTCATAGGAAAAGTCCTGATACTACATGAGAAAGTGTCCTCAATATCATTCAAGTCATCACATTCTTCAAATTTAGGTTCATAAATTTGATCTTTTAACGACTTTTCTATTACATCATTTCGTTCTTCTATGACTAAGACTCGATTAGAACATTTGGAAGAGATGTGGCCAAAGTCCTTACAACTAATGCATAGCAGGTGAGAAGAAGTCCTTGGAATTTCAAAAAATTTACTCCTATTTTTCAAGATTTGAGGAACATTAGATGGGGGAGGTCCTAAAAGAGACCTAACGGGAGGAAGTGGAGCCAATGAAACAGATGAATGGTTGTCAATACGCCTTCTATAAGGAGAATGGGGCCTTGGACTATCACGACCTTTACACTTATTTTTCCAAATAGGAGGAACACTAGACGGGAAAGGCTCTATGACAGACTCATGTTGAGATGGCGCTAATGACATGGGAGAACGACGGTGGTCGCACTTTTCATATGAAGTACTAATAAGTAACTCGTAGTCTCGAGCTGAAGAGTAAGCGTGATCAAGAGTAGTGACGCCTCGAAAGAAAAGCTCACGCTTAAGTTCATCTCTTAGACCTTGTATAAACCTACTCAAAGTCAGGGCCTCATACTCAACGATGACATTTCATTCGAAATTCCTCAAATTAAGCAATGTACTCAATTACTAGTCGATTCCCTTGTGTAAGGGTTTTCCATTGGGTAAAAATTCCATGATCTTAGCAACTATTGAAAGTAGGATTATCTAAGTCAATGCCTCTAAAGAAACGCTCCTTACGACGAGGAAGAGAATGAGTACCATGATGACTATGGCCTTGTTCTCGCTCACAAACCTGATATCTATTCGTACGATCGAGTCGAAAATATTTTTGATCCCTTTGTCCACGATAATATTGTCTATTATGAGACGCTTCAGAATTAGTGTCAATCAAACGAGGGATTCGCTTAAAATTGCTCAACTTAACAGCTAGATTCTTTCTCTCTTCACGAGTAACAATTATATCTGATTGGACAGTCGATAAGCTAGTGGCAAGTTGCGCTAATTGTCTAGTGAGTGCATCAAATTGGGATGGATCCATGGTCAATGTATTGGAAATAGAAACAACAAGACGACCACCACGCAACTACATGCAATGTAATACTAGCTAAATGACATGCAATGATGAGATCAATGAACAATAAATGCAAGCAATGAAAAATAACAATTTAAGTATTTTTTTCAGGGATAAGTAAATTCAAATATGGCAAGCTAATACTGCCGATCTATGTAAATAAAGAACAAATCAAATATTAATCAAAACTTAATCATGTAATATAAGTGGGGTAAAATATGGTTTTGACGAAATCAACGGATTCAGTAACGTGACTTTAGGTATATTGTTAGAATAATAACATCACAAAAATTTAATCAATGCAATTTTAAATGAAGCAGTATTATAAACCAATGACAAAAGAAATCAAGCACTCCCTTTGTTTAGTTGTAGCGGTGGTGCCCAAGGAAACTTAAACCTGATAGAACCCAAAGAATAAGAACTGTGCCCAATTATGATTTCCCAATTGGCACGTCTCCAGTAGAAAATTATAATGGAATACTCCTAATAGTCGAGTTACTGAATGGAACACTAATACTCAAGAGTTTTAGCAAGCTGCCCCAATGCAAATAATAGGCCAAATCCAATTCAACAAATGTCCCTGGCACTCTGAACTCAGAAGAAGTCCATCGACGTGAAAACTAAAGCAAAAACTGAACTCCGAGCGGTGGATGACAACCGGCGTGACAGTGGGTTGCTGGCGATTGGCGGTGAGGGTGGTCGTGGAATGTATGGTGACTGTGGGTTAATCTGGACGAGTGGCTAAGAAGAAATGGGTTGTGGGTTTGAATTGGATTAAATGAGAGTGAGTTTTAACTGGAACTGGGAGTAATTTGGGCCACTAGTTTATGGGCCCAAATGTGTTGATAAGAGGAATGGGCTCGCGGGTAATAATTATACGTGAATATAGGGATTATTATAGGGTTGGGTTAACGTAAGGTGGGCTGATCTTGTATGTAGGCTGAATGTAAGTGGAGTTTGATTGTTAGGGATGAAATTTATGAAACAACACACTTAGCAGCAGCAGCAAACGCCTAAAACTCTAAAGCTGAATAATTTTATTTTTATTTTGAGGGAACTACAGAAAATGATAAATAAATAAAAAAGAAATTTCGGGTGTGAACAGTAACGATTTTTTATTGTTTTTTTTTTTTTGGTGAAACTGCTAAAAAAAAAAACAACTGTCGGGTGTGAACAGTGACTTTTTTCCTAATCAACTAGAAAGAAAATTGAACAAGAAAACTGCTACCTTACAACAATTTTTTTTGTTTGTGCTGTTCCACGAGTTTTTGGGAAGAGGATAGGAAGAAAGTTTTGGATTGTGAATAAAAAATTACCCAAGTTTTGGCTCTGATACCAAATTTGATGTAGGACGAATTAAAAAATAGAAAGCAGAAGCAAGAAAGAGGGAAGAACCGGAGAGAATGGGAGGAGAAACTGGAGAAAAAGTAGAAATTCATGAGGGTGAGGGGAAGGAAGAGGAAGGAGAAGCCATAGACAACAAACCACCAAAATATTCTTCAATTCATCAAAACTAATGAAATTACATCGCAATTAAGTTTAAATAGTAAAGACTAAAATCCTAAGTAGAATGGACTTGGGCCAACACAAGTCCAATTACATAAATAAAATTTAAAACATAAATAAAGTCCAACTAAAAATAAATAAAAAAGTAGATGTCCTCATCAATACAAGTCAACATTAGTATCCATTCAAAAAATTAAAAATAAAACTGGAAACATAAGTGGAAACCACAAAGGCAGCAACCAACTGGAAAACAATTTCATCTTTAAATTCATTTGTGTTCTTTTCTCAATATTCAGTGAAGTATCAGAGTTCACTATAACCTGCGCACAATTTTATTGTGCAACTGTGTGGTGAAATACACAGCATAGAAAAGCCTCAAAAAGACAAAAACCAGATGAATTTGGATATTATCTCAACAAATAGGACTTAATCTGAATGAAACAGACAGAATGACCGTCTATTGAAGAGCCCACAAATAATCACTTGTTTGGACAGTATCTTGATAATTCAAATAATTATCGAAAATGAAGTAAAATAGTGAATGTCCTGCCCTTGTTCAAGGGCATCGATACTTTTGTCTTGTTTATGACTTCTCTAGGACATAACCTCAATAACACTATCTCACAGAGTCGCCATAAGAAAACAACAACAAAAAGTATGAACGAAGCATTGATAATAAGTAATTGTTCTGGCTTAATAATCCAATATAAAATTGAACCAGAATGCTGGGTTTTCTTCTCATATTGAATAATATATAATTCTATAAACAAAGAGAGGCCTCAGACTACTACATTTTGTGAGAGAAAAAAAAAAAAAAAAAAACTGCGGTCATCTCTGCAACCATTACAAGCCCACGATGAGTCATCATTGGCAAATGCCCAATTATTAAAGACAAACTATAAGACTCTCCTTTCACTGATAAATTACATTAACTCACCAAAGATAGTGAATTTGTGATGAGCTGTTCAATATCACGAGTTATTTTACCTCTAAAAGTATAATTCCAAAGAACAACCCAAAGGGGGAAAGGAGCTATCTTTTTTCTATGTTTGATATTTATGCAAATGAATTACCTGTTGGCGAGGCCATTGACTATCAGCTCATTAGCTAGATAAGATAATACTCTGATAAGGAAATTTCCACCTCCAGCCATCCTTGAGTTCACCGTGGGTTTACTGGAAACTATGTAAAACAAAAAATAATGGAAGATGAGAAATTCAAATCACGATTCGTGATGAGAAGGTGTGAATACCAATTTGAGATTTTGTTGAGATCATTACCTATGAGCGATGGATCGACGAAACTCTAGCTCTTGAGTTTCGAAGAAAACCTGATCGAGGCCACGCGGCTAGCTGAAAGATTTGTGGGCGTGGTTAAACTTTAAATTATTAAGGCCGTTGTGATTTTTATTCTTTGGACACAAAAATAAAAAATATGATTATTATTCATTACATTAAATCACAATATTTGACTTTGTATATTTTGTATGGATCTCATAACGACTATATTTTTCATTCTCATTCTTACAAAAAGAAGAATCAAATGAAGGCTAAATATGTAGAAAGAGTAGAAGCACGTAGCGTTGCAAGTGACTTTCAAATTAATATGTCAAAATAGAGTGATAGTTTTAACCTGTCACCATTTAAAAAATTAAATTATTTAATATAGTAATATTATTTATCACATATTCACACAATAAAATATTTTACATACAACCAATAAATTTTTTTAAAATTTTAATCACACATTCTCTAAAAAATATTATTCAAAACTTTTTAATTTCTCCATAATGGGAGACAAACAGGCTCTTAATCTACAAAGTTGGAGAGTCAAATCATTCTCTATAATTAAATATATTCAAATAATTTTAATATTAAATGAGAAAAAATAATATAATAATTTAGAGGGAAATTAATAAAAAAAAATGGAAAAAAAATATAAATACTGTTGGAGTAGTGAGATTATATGTTGAAGATAAATAGCCCTTTGGAATATTTAAATTTTTTGACTATCTAAAGTTATAAATGCTTTCTAAATTGTTGAATATACTATTCAAAAATAGAATCTCTTGAAAATACTCTAAGAATACGTTTGATTATAAAGATGAAATTGAATTGAATTGAAAACGAATCTCAGAAAATTGAATTGTTTAGAAATTATTTTTTCGGGAATTGTAAATCATTGTGTTTGATTAGTATAATTTTTCATGTGAAAAATGTTGAAATAAAGATATTTTTTGATATTCGTTTAGCTCTCTTTGACATGAAAATTGTCAATTAAAGAGATAAATTTTACTGATATTGGGGATGAAATTTGTTTTCATTACAAAAAAATAATAATAAAATCAAGAAAATCATCTATCTTTTGATATTCGTTTAGCTTTGTTTTACATGAAAAATGTCAATTAAAGGGAAATATTTTTTTACAATAATTCTTAGAATTTGTTAACTTTGCCAACAATATATATATATATATATATTCCATTTTTCATGAAAAATTTTAGTGTATCAAACACACCCTAATAGTGTATAGATAGATGATATGAAAAAAGAGAGAGATTATAATAAACGAGTTTGTTTTCTTTTCATTTCTTTTTTTCGCTCTCTTCTATATCATCTATCTATACACTATCATGCACATAATAATATACAAATAATATTACCCTTACATGAATATAACGTATATTGCGATCTATAGAATGTATAGAGATGCTCTTAGGAATTTTCAATCCTCGTTTTCATGATTTTAAATTGAGAAAAAAAAATTATTATAGTCTTTAGACCCTTTTTTTTTCATTTTTCTCCCAAACTTATAATTTTTTAAATTTTATACTTTTTTATTTTTAGCCCTTGTTTGGGCATTTTTTCAAATTATAATGAAAAGAATGATACCTATCCATCCCAATTATATAGGCCGTGTTTCCTTTTTCTGTTGTCCCAAATATATATACATGTTTCTTAATTTAGAATATCTTGTTTTGTTCTTTTACTAATATACCCTTATTCAATTTTTCCCACTTAATATACTAACTTTATGAAATTACCTAAATACACACATTTCCCCTTCTTGGAAACGTGGAATAACCCTAATTTCTTCTTCATCAAATTAAATCATTCAAATTCTTTATTAATTCCAATAATAGTTTACTACTACACACTGAAAATTAAATAGGGATAAACTAGAAAAGGTTTTGGCAAAAATTAATTTTCCAATGACATTAAAGAAGATTTCTTAATCCGTGTGAAAAACAAAACAAGCATATATAATTGGGATGAATGAAGTAATTTTTTGAAAAATGTGGAGTTAAAAAAAAGTAAATTTTTAGATTTACGTATAATATTATTTTATTGAAATCAACAGTGAATTGTTCCATTATATATATCCCTACTATATAAAAATGAGAATGTGAAATTACTTTAGAAATCAACAGTAAATTGTTTCATTTTATTTCACTGTAGCAAAATCTTTTTTTCCATCACGAAGTAAAAATAACGTCGTGTTAATTGATACGATGACATTTCATTTTTTTTTATCACTTTTACCGTGCATTTACAGTACACATTTACTGTTCATATCTGAAGTGTTTAGTAGCACTGTAGCTATATATATGTTTTTCCTTTTATTGTGTCCTTATTAATTTCCATTTCATTTTTTTCCCTTTTTACCGAGCATTAAGATTTACAGAATTAAGATGAAATTTTATATTCACTTACTCAATGTTTGAAATGATTTTTTTTTTTCAAAAATGGAAAGAATTAAGATGATGATTAAAATCTAGAGTCTTAATTATTCTCCTACAAACAGAATTCAAATCGACCTATGTGAAAGAAAAAAGTAAAGAAAATGAAGGGAAAAAGTTGAAAAATCAAATCGGCTTAAGTTATATTGGCACTAATTTGGACATTTGTGTGTGTGTGTGTGTGTGTGTGTGTGTGTGTGTGTGTGTGTATATGTATTAGTTTCTTTGTCATTTTCTTTCAATGTTCCTATTATTTTTCTTTTCAATTTTTTATATGAACATTAAGATATGGTGAGCTGATACCAGTTGATCTAAAAATCAAATGTACTTTTCATCGTGATAAAGATTATATATTGAATAAAAATAGAACTTTTTTCCCTTCATTTTCTTTAATTTCTTCTTTCACAAATATCAAATTGAGAAAAAAAAAGAAGAAATTGTTACTTCTGAATAATCGAATTTTAAAATGTATCTCAATTGTCACTAAACTTTTTCAAGTGTTACTAAGTCATAACTGAATTAAAAATGTATCTCAATTGTCACTGAATTATGCACCATGTTACCCATCCATCACTTAAATCGATATCGTTTATTGAGTGATGGATAGATAACACGGTGCACAGTTCAATGACTACTGAAATATATTTTTAAGTTCATTTATGAAGTAATAACATTTGGTGAAATTTAGTGACCATTTAGATACATTTTAAATTTAATTATTAAGTAGTAACATATGTTAAAGTTCAGTAACCATTTATCTAATTAACCAAACTCTTCAATGGCTACCTTCAGTCTTTCATCGCCAAATGCCACGGGCTCTCCCATGAGTATATTTTCTAACTTTTCTTCCTAAAATACCCCCACTCTTTTCGTTTTGTTCCATGCCAAAGCCCTATTTTCTCTTCCCCTTCGTATCCCTCAGACCCAAAATCGCAGCCAAACCTCGCCGTGCAAACGTCATCATTTCAGCTGCGAAGAAGCTTTTTTCGAAATTGATTTGGTGGCTATGCAGAAGGAAACTAACTTAGTATCCTGAATATTTACCCCAGAGTCGGGCGTGTACGCCATTTATGATAACAGTGGTCAGCTTTAGTCTGCAGGCATATCGCGAAATGTTGTCGCCAGTCTTGTAACTCACAATAAATCGGTAACCCAATCTCTGTTGCTTTGTTAAGGTATTATTGTAAATGTAATTCTTGATGCATATATATGGAGTAGATTTGTGTTGTTAATTTCGCTATTTTGACTCCCATGATTATGTAATATAGAAAACTGATTGGTCACGATTTTTATAATAGTTCCATTTCTTCAATCAATGTGGTACAACGTTCTTCAGTTTTTCAGACACTTGCCTATTAATTGGACAATGAAGACTGGTAATTGAAGCCATAATTTGATGGGGGGGTTTTGGCTATCTATAGATGGGTTTTGGTCTCCAAGCTCCACCACCAAAAAATACAATATCCGCCATCAATTAAGAGTGTTGAAAGGTTGGAAGTTCCATTACCTGAAAAAATGAGAGCTTCTAAATCAACATCAATGGCCGGAGGTATGAATTCGATCAATGCATTTCGATCCAATTCATTACGACATAATTGTTCTGGATCGATTTTAAGTCTTACATTCGGTATTAGAGCATCATTTTACCTTTACCTTGATGTTGCAATCTACAAAAATCTGATTTCTGGTCGAAGTATTTTCTAAATATAAATTCAAATTTCTCCATGAAATCACCTTTTCTAGACTCTAGATGTTTTCAAACTTGAGTTTTGATGGAGGAAAGGTTGAGTTAGAGGCGGGTGGGTTTGGAGCCGGGTCGTTTTCAACCCATTAGAGATTGGAAATGACTATGATTTTACGAATGAACTAGTGATATCAATGGGCCGAGCCGAGCCCCTACGAGCTCGGCTTGTGCTCGGGCTCGTTGCCCAACGAGCTCGTGGGCAACGAGCTCGAGCCGAGCTCGGCTCGTAAAAAAAAAAACGAGCTCGGCTCGCCCCACGAGCTCGTGGCTCGTGGGGGGGGACGAGCCGAGCTCGAGCTCGGCCCGTGAGCTCATTTTTTAATTTTTATACACGTTTTCTTTCTAAATATTTTTTAAAAAATACAATTTTGATAAATTTTTATCTTATAAGTATTTTTATTTTGTAAACAATTTATTTAGATAAAGTATGTTTTACTAATAACTTATAAGTTATAATTTATAAGTAATTTTAATTATAATGTATTTTTTTATGATTTTATCTTATAAATAATACTTACTTATAACTTATAAGTTTTTTTTAATTATAATTTAATTTTTTACTTATAAGTTATAAATAATTTTTAGTTAATATATTTTAATATATTTTAATTTTCAAGTTTATTTTGAAGAAAACATATTGATTGAAAATCATTATTTTATAAATGATAAAATTAAATATGATATGAGAAATTGTAAAATGATTTTTCAAAATATTTTTCCTTTTTAAAATAATAAAAATAATAAAATATAAACCCTCCTCCTTTATCCGGGTTTGGGACTGGCTACTTAAATTTTCAGTAGACGAAGTAAAAAATTGTACACGAACAATTTTTTGGAGCGTGTACAATTTTTTAAAGAAAATTAAAAGTAACGATAAGAAAAGAAAAGTTTCATTAATATAATTAAATCAAATATCAC